GGGGTTATATTCGGCGTGGCTGATCAGAAGCGAATTGAGGCGGTTCAGGAGGGGTTAACCAAGAGAGCTGAACACCGTCCTTGGGGCCTGGTTGGTGGCGAAGGGCTCTGTGCTGTGGTTTCCCAGTTTGGAAACTGGAGGTGTCACGATGCCGCACAGGGAAAAAGAGTGTTGTGTAAATTTATTACGTATTGAAATGTGCGGCTCTGTCAGAGCTTTGCCTGGAACTCGGAATTGCTGCATTCTTTAACGTGGATTTCTCATCTCCATTGCTTTCTCTCTTTATCTATATAGGACCAGTTGTCCTGGCTGTGTAGCTTATTGATTACAATATTTGTCACTTAAGAGGTGTGTTCCTTTCTATTTGCATCAAATTAGTGCTTAACACATATGCCAAGAAGCTTTTCGTTTTGTGTAACAGCCTCACATCTAGGCCAGACAGCAGGGAGCCTGTCCTTTGTCACTCATTTTCTCAGCTCTGCCACTGGCATCTTGAGGAGTTCTCTGCTGCAGGGGATCTGTCTTGGACAATTATTTCTGCATGCCACTTCCAGTAATGTTGGGCTATTATCTTTGCACAGGGCCTTTGGATTTTTGCAGTGGAAAAGCTTCAGAGTGTTAAATCGGTGCCTTTCCTTTTGGTTTATCTTTTTTTTAGTCCCTACAGTGTGGTTTGTAATTTAGCAGCAGCAGCAAAGATGCAGGTCATGCTTCTTGACAACCTTTTTTTTAAAGCTTTTATATAAGTTCCTGTTTCCTTGTTTTAAAAGGAAAGGACTCAATTTTTTACAATTCAAAGGTAGTTAGTAAGATACAGTTTGACTGTGTAGTAACTACAAAGGGATGGATGACTTTTAGCCCACACTGAGATATGTTTCCTGGTTAAATATGACTGGTTTGTTTGAGCTCCATGTTGTATATTGTTCCTGCTTGATCCTCTCTGCTCTTCCACAGCTCTCTGTGCAGTTAACAGTGGGGCATGGCTGTGAGAGCTTGTGGCCTAATCATCTACAGGAGGCTGCAGTCAGCACCGTCTTCTAAGGTCACTGATGGTATTGAATACCTCCTCCTTCAGACATCCTATGGGACCCATCACTGGACCCCACCCAAAGGTAATGTTTGTTTTGGTCACACACTTCAAGGTCGTTTCTGTTGGGAGTGAGTGAGATTACAGACTGAACTTTGGCTGAATGCTGCTAAGGTCAGGTTTGAGGGGCAGTTAATCAGTTGACAGTTGATTATGCTGTTTGTGCAGCTGAGTGGGGAGTTCTGTGGCTGAAATTCTTTGCAAATTGTGACTGTATAAACTGTATGGGTATGACTGATAGGGGCTGGAGGGGGTCACCCAATCGTGCTCCTCAGATATCTGATGTTTCTGGCAGACATTGAGCAGACAACTGAAATTAGATAGCTAGAGAAATTTTTACCTTCTTGCTGAGGTCTGATCCTCTGCCAGATCCCCATACTGTTACCACTGTACAGTTGGTTGACCCATGTATAATCAGAAGGGTCACAGTTTGCAGCACAACATTAGAAGGCAAGCTGAAATCAGTGATGATTTACTATACAACGCCTTTCTTAGAAGATGCAGGAGTTTCTTTAAGTTCAGGAGATCATTGGTGAAGAGCACATACCTAATGCAGCAGAGATGAGAGGGACAGCTAGGAGAAGTAACCTTATCAGCCATCTTCACCTAAGCCATCCTCGCTCATCAGTGAGGCCCCAAAGGAGAAGACAAGCCTGGTGCCCCAAGACATACAGCAACACCTTGTCTGTAAAGACACATGGGAGAGCCAGTGTTTGGTAGTACGTAGTCACAGCCCTGGTACTCGGAAAAGTGCAGCACAGAAATACATCAGGTTCCTTGTAGATCATCTTATATGCTGTTTTTTACCCTCTGAGATTTCTTCCTGGTAGTTTTTACTTCTTGTTTTGTAAAATGCAGTGCCCTTAAAGCATAGTGCAGGAGCAGTTTGTAAACAGGAATTTGCAAATTGGAAAAAAATCTTGTAACAGTATCAACTATGCTCCCCTATTAAGGGAAAGAACAAAACTTTCCAAACCTCCCCCTTTGTCCACTTCACCAAAAGCCTAAGGGAGTAGAGTTTGCAGCCTACTGGAAAGCTAAAAACGTGCTGAGACATGATTAGTTGTTGTAAGAAGAGAGACCCGTGTGGAAAGGTTTACTGGGAACACAGTAATTCTGGACAAGCGATTGAAATTACTTGTAAGCATTTCAGTAGGGAGTGAAATGACTCGTAGGCATACATCTCACACACTCAAAATCATAGAATCGTAGAATGGTTTGGGTTGGAATGGACCTTTAAAGGTCCATTCAGCAATGAGCAGGGACATTTTCAACTAGATGAGGTTGCTCAGAGCCCCGTCCAACCTAACCTTGAGTGTTTGCAGGGATGGGGCATCTACCACCTCTCTGGGCAACCTGTTCCAGTGTTTCACCACCCTCATGGTGAAAAATGTCTTCTGTCTGGTCTGAATCCAGCCTCTTTTAGTTTAAAACCATTACCTCTTGTCCTGTTGCTACAGGCCCTACTAAAAACTTTGTCCCCATCTTTCTTTTAAACACCTTTTAGGTATTGAAAGGCTGCAGTAAGGCCTCCCTGGAGCCTTGCCTTCTCCAGGCTGAACAACCCCAGCTCTCTCAGCCTTTCCTTATAGGAGAGATGTTCCAGCCCTCTGATCATTTTCGTGGCCCTCCTCTGGACCGCTCCAGCAGGTCCATGTCTTTCCTGTGCTGAGGGTTCCAGAACTGGATGCAGTACTTCAGGTGGGGTCTTACCAGAGCGGAGTAGAGGGGCAGAATCACCTCCCTTGACCTATTGTTTATGGTTTTATAGATCAAAAGTCACATACAAAAGCCACAATCTGATGGCAGGCTTTAATAGTAGCTTGGTACAGATTTGGGGGCCATAAATGGGGAGCATTATATAGTCTCTGCAATATGAGTGATCTTCAAAGGCAGCCTCAGGTTGTGTGATGCAGTAACATAACTTGTACATGGTGCAGACATAGATGTAATGTAGCAGGAGCCAGGGTGAGAAGTTGTAATTGTCTCTCCAAGAGCACGCAAAGGGCAATTTACAGCTACAGCTGTACATTGGTATCTTGAAAGTTCCCAAAGCAGCTGCAACCCTTATGGGATTAAACTGGACTTGCTTGGATCCCTCCACGTGAGCTTCATCAGCCTCATCTCTGTTCTTAGAACTGTGACTTAGCACTAGCCGAGGCTGGTGGGAAGGGGATGCGGGGTTCATTTTCCTCCTCAGCATTTTGGAACCACATTAGTGCGAACGGCTGGGAGGATCTGGAAGCTGTGGTGTGAGGTGCTGCCAGCAGTCCTTTTTCCGCCCAGTAGGTAGACTCTACTGCACAAACTTGGAAACTTATTGAGCTTAGACTTGAGGTTATCATCAGCAGGTTGAGGTGATTGCCTTTCTCTGTGCTGGAGAGCAGGAGGTTGCACTGGTGTCCTTTGAGTTGAAACTGAATCTCAGCCCTCCAGCTTTATTACTACCTCAACTCATTGCACGTTCGGTGACTACGGATCATGATTATCATAAAAAATAGTGGTTATTTACTGTTCATGGTTGTTCTGTGGGCATTTGCTGTGGGTACTGTAAAAGTAATCCAGCTGTGCAAGGCCGAGTGAATTCTGTTTCTCAACTGTTAGTAATAAGTCCCAGCTATGGAAATACATACTTTGTCAAAAAGGAGACAGCTTGACTTGCAGTGCTGAGATTCAGGGGGAAAGTATTTTTACTTAAAGCCTCAGTTTATTTGATCTTAAATATCCGAGACATCAAGTGCAACATCAGATGCTGTTTTCTGCACAGTTGCTGCTTGAAATAGAAGTGTATTTTACATTTGAGATGATGTCACATTGTAAGAGGTGTTTAAGCTTCTGATACGCAGACAAAGAAGTGAGAGAGACCTGTTGGGAAAGCAAAATGAGCTTCCCACATATCCCAGTTCTAGTACTGAAGGGTGGCTTTGAGTACCCGGGCCCCAAGGAAAGATTCATTTCTGTGATGAAATTATGGCTCTTTGCAGCCAGTGACATAGAAACCAGAGTGACACCAGGGGCAAAATAAAGCTTAACTTTTTTTTCCTCTTGAAGCCTCCCAACTCCTACTATGTTGCTTTTTTGAGATCTTGCTTGGCTTGTTCTATTTATATTCTGGTCTGGAGCTTTCATGAGAAAACCAAATCTGACATTTCTCAACAAAAGTACAAACAGCTGGGGATGTGTTATATTTATCCGTTGTTTGTAATGGCACCTCTCATTCTGAGCAACGTAAAATAAATGTGTCCTAGAAGAACTACACAGCTGGTGAAAGGACTGGCTTTTAGGCTTGCTGCGTTTCAGAGGGGAATATGGGTGAGAAATGAAAATACCCCTAACTGCCTAACTGAAACCCACCTTTTAAATGGCATTTGTTGGTGCCCAGACCCGTTGTTTCTGGGCTGTTGGCATGAGTCAGAGTTTTGCAGAATTGAGCCTTAAGCTTCAGTGGGAGGGAAGGGTTGAGAGAGGTCTAAGACTCTTGCAGATGAGCAGTCTCCCCTCTAACTGGATAAAGGAAAAACTTTCATGAGGCACTCAGTCCTCAGTATGATCTAGGTGGAACGTTACGGGTGCAGAGTGCTCCAGGAGAGGAGAGGAAGACTGGGAATAAAGGATGTCTAGTGCTGACAGGCCACTGGGAGTTTCAGAAAATGTGGGATAAACAACAATCCTAAAAGCCACAAGACAAAGACAAATCAAGACATAAGAGTTGGAAAAGCAATCTCTGTTCTCCAAGTTCGATTTGATTCTGTATCAACTACAGTGTACTCTCATCTCTGACTTCCAATGTTTCCTAGTTGTCAACTGGATAAACAAAATCTGAGTTTCCTTCTCAGAGACTTACTTTTCACCTTCTTGGCAGGCCACGTGGACCCAGGAGAGGATGACCTGCAGACAGCCTTCCGGGAAACACAGGAAGAGGCTGGTCTTCAGGCCAGTCAGCTCACCCTCATAGAGGGGTACAAGAAAGAACTGCACTATCCTGTCCGTGGCAAACCTAAGACCGTCATTTACTGGCTGGCAGAAATGAAGGACTGTAACACAGAAATCAAGCTCTCGGAAATGGCTGAAGCTGGAGGATGCTTGCAAATTTGCAGAATATGAGGACATGCAAGCGACGCTGAAAGAAGTGCATCAGTTTCTCTGCTCCAAAGAATAAATGCTTTTGTGAAGGATAAGGGGAATTTTTGAAGAAACATGGCCTGCTTTTTTCTTTTTTTTTAATTTTTATTTTGAACCAGGAGAACAACTACATGGCTGCTGAAATGTAGATTTCTTTTTTAAATCTATACAAATTCACTGAAGATACTTGGAGCTTTTAAAGAGCTTGTGCTTTTGTCTCCCCTAGCTAATGCAAAAAAGCATGGTCTGATTGAACCATGAGTCAGAGATGTCTGAATTGAAACCCAAAGCTAACAAAGACTTCCTCTGTCCCTGTCTCCTTTTCTTTTTCCTTTTTTTTTTTCCCTTGAAGTGCTGAACAACCACAGGTCTCTTTGAAAAATCAAACACTTGATATTCCTTGACTTGCTGATGTAGAACTACAGAGTTGAGAAAATGAGTAGATGGAGATTTTTTTAATAACAAAATGTTTACTGCAGAAGTTGCACCTTGCATTTCAAATGGAGAAGCAGTAGTTCTGTTCCCAGCTCCTCCACTGATACGCTGCGATAACTTGTCAAATCATTTCAGGTCTTGTTTGTTTGTATCATGAATTTATGTGCATCACTAATGTACTGTTATGAAAACATTTTTCATCCAGAGAGTCTTAGTAGATGGTTGACATACAGTATTTAAATGCTAAACTTGAAGTTCTTCTTTTGCCTCTTTCTTTTCGCTCTTTAACAAAGACCTTGGCCATACATTATTCAGGGGGTTGGGAAACGGAAATCTATCTGCCTGATACAGCATTTTCTGCACAGAGTATCTAAGCTAATGTGCGATCTTATATCTGTTCGATAGCATCTGTGTTTCTGTGGCTGCAGCCTGCACCCATGTGTGAGAAGGGCCGTGTGCGCTGCTAGCGCTCTGCTGTAGATGCTCGTGCTGGATGATCGCAGTAACCTGCAGTGGTACTGATGAGCCCGCCGGCATCAGCTTTCCTGTGGACCTCTCTTTTGTCATTAACATCACTGGGAGCTGGGGTTGTTAGCACTCTGTATGATTATGCGTGTTCAGTTAGTAATGGTTCATGGATGTTTTGGTACATAAATACCAAAAAAGCATGACAGCATTATTAACATTTTTAGGTGAGGAATGAGGTTTTCTGAACTCTGGGGGAGAACAAGTTGTCCCTTCTTCCCTACGTCTCCTCTAGCCTTTGCTGCTTAGGCACTTGGACCTCATAAAGCAAGTAAGTGTGGGCTCTACTTCCACTTTGTCTTCCTCCTTGCTGCAGGAGTGAAATGAGGGTCATCAGCATTGCATCAGCCCTGGTGCAATACCAGAGATGCAGCGTAACTGGGCTGAGAAATATGGGCAGCAGTTTAGTATTGTGCCCCTGTGCCCTAGTGAGGCCGCACCTCGAATCCTGTGTTCAGTTTTGGGCCCCTCACTACAAGAAGGACACTGAGGTGCTGGAGCGTGTCCAGAGAAGGGCAACGAAGCTGGGGAAGGGCCTGGAGCACAAGTCTTATGAGGAGTGGCTGAGGGAACTGGGGCTGTTTAGCCTGGAGAAGAGGAGGCTGAGGGGAGACCTCATCGCGCTCTACAACTACCTGAAAGGAGGTTGTAGCGAGGTGGGGGTTGGTCTCTTCTCCCAAATAACTAGTGACGGGACGAGAGGAAATGGCCTCAAGTTGCACCAGGGGAGGTTTAGACTGGTCATTAGGAAAAATTTCTTTACTGAAAGAGTGGTCA